TTCGGTATCTATCAGCTAGTTGAATTATAAATTTATTCCAAAAAAAAAAAAAACTATCAAAATCAATAAATAATATAATTTATTCGCGAGCTAGATGGTTGGTAAGATTCTTTTTAAAACAATAAGCTCCATAGTGGCATTTTTTTTTCAAAACACGAAAATACCATTTCTATTGGCTACATACAATTATTTACCCCTACAGGATGATGGTGTTTCAAATAAATACCACCAATATCGCCAATAACAATTTCAAACAATTATTAGCCGACTGACAAATTTAACGAATTAACACAAAAAAAGGACAGTCGCCAATATGGCCAATAACAATCTGAAACAATCAATCAACTGATAAATTTACCGAATCAATAATCTTGGAAATGCTCACAGGAATAGTCAACCCCCAGGTACTTCCGTGATACTTTTAGTGAGTGAATCCTACTTCTGATATTAGATTTTATTAATTATCAAGTCAAATAATTATTTAGTTACCAAATGATTTTATCGATAGAACACAATGCGTGAGAATCAACCGCCTACAGCCACAGCTGACCACACACTCGACACTCAAGGCAACTCATCTCGTTCTGCCTGGGGAGGTGTCGCGGGTACCTTGCCACCGCAAACGTTTCCCCGCACCCCCCGCTCTTGACTGCCGCTGCTCTATACACCACACTACAATGAGTAATCACACAAAAATTTGTTTACCTGCTAACATATATTTTTACAGACAGTCAAATTTAACTGTAGATTGTTAATCGTAACAATAGTTCGTAGTTTTGTGCTTTTTACTTTTTAAATTACGAGGGCTGTCCAGAAAGTGACAGACGTTTTGCGCTGTCGCGGTAGTGTGCGGGGCTTGTGCCGCCATCTTATCGTCAGAGTGTTCCTACCACGAAGTATAGATACAAGGAGTCCGAACGGTATAGGATTTTTTGTAGGATTCATGTACCCAAATATTAAACCCAGATCTTAGTTCTTTTTTCTGCCACTGGCTGTGCAAATATTCAGGACGTACCGAAAGGCAAATGAGAATTTAGGAAAAGTGGCTTTATTCAAAGCACCGAAAGTGAGTAACCTCTAAATAATATTAAAAATCTGATGTGTCCAACACATGACTTTCCTATCTAGTTATTATAGGCTTTTTCCGGTTATTTTGTACAACCTATTGCAGCACCTCTATAAATGTTTAGAGGATAAACTAAATATATACATTTTCCACATACATCTAACTCGAAACATTTTTCTATAGATATTCATTGAAAACGAAAATACTGAAAAATTTAAATTTAGCACTTTTCCTCCAATTTTTCCATTACGGTCCATTTTAGAAAAATCATGTAAAAACAAAAATTATAGAGATCGATATCGCAAACAACATTTAGTTTAACAATTTTCTTAAAAATCAGAATTTTGCACATTTTGTCAAATTTCTCGAATACGGACCATTTCAGGAAAACTTTACATAAAACAGAAATTATAGATAATAATATTAGTAGTAACTTTTATTTGAACAATTTTCTTCTCCAAACATAAAAAACAGATATATTCCATAAAAACGGCCTTCCATAAAGTACCCCCAGATGAACTTTGTCCAAAATCTAATCATTTCACGTCAGGCCGAAATAAAACTTAAGTTTAAAATTTAATGTTTTTTCCTTTATCCGTTTTTGAGTTTTCATCAAAATTCGAAATTTACACATTTTCTCAAATATCTCGAATACGATCCATTTTAGAGAAATTATGTATAGGATAAAAATTATAGAAAATTATATTACAAACAACTTTTATTTGAACAATTTTTATAAAAAATTGTTTTTTTACATTTTGTCAAATTTCTCGAATACGGACCATTTTAGGAAAATTTTGTATAGAACAAAAATAAGATAATAATATTGTAACTTTTATTTATTTAAAGAATTTTTTTCTCCAAACGTAAATAACATATATTTCATAAAATATAAAAATGACCACCTATAAGGTACCCCCCAGATGTTCCGACTCTGTCCAAAATCTAAACAGTTCATTGGACCCCGGAATAAAGCTTAAGTTTAAAATTTGGTGTTTTTCTTTGTATCGGTTCATGAGTTATGGTGGATACAGACACACACAGACATCATCCCGAAAATAGTCAAAACTGATTCAGGGGACCCCAAAACGTAAAAATCTATCGAAAACTGGAGGTCGAAAGAAATCATGATTTCTATACTTTCCTTATCTGTATACAGATAGGAAAGTAAAAATTTGTTTTTAACAAATGCTTGATTAATAAATTTGTTTAATTTTCAAATAATAATTAAACGAGTACTTCTTCAAAAGTGGCGCGCCATACCGGCAAAAAAATCTGTCCCCCAAATTGATGACATTCATTCAACATTACGTTCGGACTCCTTGTATCTATACTTCGTGGTTCCTACACTTGGTACGCAATAGATACAGCGTATCGATTCAGATCGAAGTTTAATGGATCGGTACACTTTATTATCGTAAGCAACAGTATCGATACTCAAAATATCGAAATGGTATACTAATGTACAAGTAATTTAATTTTAAAATATTGAAGTGAAAAAATTATATACGGAAGTATAAATGGATTTTAAGATATATAATTAAAAAATATATACAATATTTCAACTGAACTAATGTATGTTTAGTATCCTACACTTAGATGACATAGTTTAATTTCGTAATTAGTGTGGCATACGTGTTATTTTATTTTTGATACCATTTTACATCGACCTGTATTGATACAGGGTATCTTTGAATCGTAGAATATCGATAAAAAATATCGTGTTTCGAACTCCTGAATATCGATACTGCCAAATATCGCATCGAATCGCACATCTCTAGTACGTAACCAGCCTGCACATCGTACTTTGTTTACAGTGGAGTATTGAAAGGAGCACTACAATTGAAAATCCCGCCAGTTGTGAAGTGGCCAAACAATCAACTCAGAGAGGTATTGCGAAACATTTAGAAAACTAAGACGCGCAATAGAAAACAAGCGTCGGGGAAAAACTCGGCAACAAATTTTGTTTTTCCACGCCCACACACGGCCAATCGTACCTAATAGCTCTTGGATGATTTTGGATGGGAAGTTTTCAATCATCCGCCGAACAGCCCGGAATTGGCGCCAAGCGACTACCACCGGTTTCCAGCGATGAAGACGTGGCTTGCTACGCAACACTTTGACGGTGTAAACCAGCGGTTGAAGTCGCAGGCGGCAGATTTCTACAGAGAGGGTATTGAAAAGCTTGTACCACGTTATGATAAATGCCTTAATTTAAATGGCGATTATGTAGAAAAATAGCCTAAGCGTTTATTTCAAAATATATAAAATAAAAATTGTTTTTTCGCATTGTTTATGTGTTATTTAAAAACTTTCTGGACAGCTCTCGTACTTCGAATCTAACAATTTCAGTTTTTTGAAATATTTTTATATATATTTCAAAAAAACATGTTGTGTCAATCATTACAATACTTTTAAAAGTTTGGAAAATATAAATATATCTAATATGAAGACATTAGTGAAAGTGATTTTATCTAAATTTTCTACCTCTGGCTCCGTCTTGTAATTATTGCATTTGTCCGACAAAGTTAAGGGAAATATTACAAAAACTGAAGGAATAACACCAAGCAATTGAAAAAAGTGCTTCTTTAACTTGTATACCTGAAAGAAAAATATATCGTATTTTTAAAGATGGTGTCCGAAAGAAATCGAAAAGGTAAGGTTATAAAAAGAGCTGGACCATATGGCGAATATGCTTGGGATATTTATTTGCGATACCCATCAGAGAGAAACGATTTAGAAAAATAGGAAAGTATAGAATAGGAAAATGAAAATAAATAATAATAAACAAAAAATTAACCAAGATTTGGTGTTTATATTGGAAAAGAATCCAATGAATATATTAAGATTTAAAGAATTTTATTTCCTTATGTGCATTAAAGGAGTTTTCAACAGTACCCCGAATCCTACGTAATCTAGTAAAACAATAAATTTAATGAAAATGGCCGTTCTTAATGACTTTTATGATAACTTAAGTATCAGTTCTGTGAAATAGCTCAGTGACAATATTTTAAGGTTACTACTGAAGTTATTAATGATAGTTTTAGCTAACTGATTACATCAATTTAGTCACATATTGTTGAAGACTCTGTACTTCCTAAATTACTACAAGGTAAATAATTTTTTAGTTTTAAAAATTGTTTGTACCTATTAAAATATATAAAACCTTTATAAAAATTTTGATATACATATTTATCAAAAAATCATTTAAATAAAAATTTTAGGATGCAATTATCGACTAGAAGTACTATACAATTGAACCGTTTATTTTGAAAGTGACATAAGTCCATTTATACTTAAATTGAGATATCTAAAGGTTTGCGTAAATTTTGTTTAACTACATTATTTAAACTTACTGATTATTCAATTAATGAAATTGTCCAATAACTGAGGTTAACTTGTTAAATACTAATTAATTAAAATTACCTTCATTACTTCCTTAGGACATTATCGATAATGAATATCTTAATTTAAATATAAAAATGGACTTAGGCCATCAAAATAAACGGCTCAATTCTGTTATTAGTAATACTTTTATTTAAAAAGCTTTAATTTCACATAGTTCTTTTCTGGATAAACTGTTTTAGTTTGTCCATGTAGTTTGACTTCTTACCTGTCATTAAAAATGTTTTCTTTAAGTCTCTTAAGGTTTAATTGAAGAGTTGCTCTCAACAGAAACATAAATATTTTAATTGCAAGCTTAAATTGGTTTAATTAAATGGTTATTTTAAAGAGAAATAACCAAGTAAACCTACACAGAATTACAATCTACTACATACTATAACTAGTCAATGAAGGAAAATGTTTTTTTAAATAATGTTGGGTTCTAATTAACAGTGCTGTTCCTAAAGTGGCGCTGGGAAACAGTAACAAAGCCTACACATAACTCGAGGCTGATAACCTTAGTTGATTTTTACTTATTTTTTTTCTGAAGGTATGACCAGAGATGATCTATTCAATACAAACGCCGGAATTGTAAAAGCTTTGGCGGAATGTGCAGCAGAAGTAGCACCAGACGCCCTTATTGGTATCATTACCAACCCTGTAAATTCGGCCGTTCCAATTGCTGCTGAAGTTCTTAAAAAGGTAAAAATAAAGTATAAAAAATAAATAAAAAAAATCTTACATCATGTCCAAATCCAGCTTAGGCGTGAATAAATAAGACAACAACATAATATAAAGCTGTCCCTAAAACAAGACCTAGATCCTAGGTTAGGTTGAAAATGAGTGGGATGATCTCATCGCCCTACACTGCGACCCAGATGGGACCTAGATCTTAGTATTTGTTCATTGATTGAGCTAAATGAGAAATTAGTTCTATTAAAAAAATATATTGTATATAAATAAATCTATTTACTCTTTATCTTCGCTATATTTACTTATAGGCTGGAAAATTTGATCCCAAACGTGTGTTTGGTATCTCCACTTTGGACATTGTCCGTGCCAACACTTTCATTGCTGAAGCCAAGGGACTTAACCCCAAGGATGTCAATGTTCCTGTTATTGGAGGACACTCTGGGGTCACTATTATCCCCCTACTTTCCAGGGTGACACCCTCAGTTTCATTCCCACAGGACCAACTTGAAGCTTTGACTAGTAGGATACAGGAAGCTGGTACAGAAGTAAGTTTTACTGCCTAATTTACTTTGTTATTAATTATTACCGAAAATGTTATAAATATACAGAAATATAAACACATTCAAATTAAAACTCTGAACACAAATATAAAAAAAACAACTAATGAAGTTTTACCATCCAACAACCGCACCTTATTTAGCTATTAAAAAGTACTATAAGACAAAAGTTAAGTTGGACGAGTCCTACAATAAAATATACAGATTCTATATTTTTGCTACATTTGCAAAAAAAGCATGGACTAAAATTAAATTATGTAGACTAGTTCCTGTTATATAAAAAAATCTGTAATTTTATAATGTAAGGACAATTTATGACAAAAGATTATACATTATTCAATGATGAGATAAACAAAAAAAAGCATGGACTAAAATTAAATCATGTAGAATTTAGTGCCTGTTATATAAAAAGCTTACATTTTGTAATGTAAGGACAATACAATTTATGAAAAAAAAAATATTATAATTACTTCAATGATGAGAAAACTTATTCAATAATACCAGAGACAACAGAGACGTGTAACTTCATAGGAAAATTTGTTCGGTGGTCCATTTAAATTACATATATGACTTTCTTTCTTTTTTACATTGATCTTTACATATGTTTATCTCTCTCCAATAAAACTAACAACAATCTAAGAGGTCGCTGATGTTGCTGGTTTTTTGACGTTGACGTATCGATTAAAACTGACAATGTTATGAATGTGGTTATGAACGTGTGCATTTTATTAAAATTAATTTAATTTGGGCCCCGTTTATTTCTTTGAGTCTGATTTTGTTGTTTAATTAATTTTCTTTCGGGGGAATGTTTATTTTTGCATGAAGCAATTTCTGGAACCAAGCTCGAGTTTTTGTACACATTTCTTTCTAGAGGTAAGTAATTTCCAATTTATTAAGAAAACCACTGTATAATTTGTGTGTTTAATAATATATTACAAAATGGCTATAATTATTTTAGGTGAATTGGAACAGAGATACATTGTTACAGCTACTTTTGTTCATTAAGTAGGTAGATGAATGTCTGGACAGATTTAATGGCAGCACAAAGTTCCTACCTACTAGAAAAGTAAAATGTATGCCGAGTAAAAATCTGCACATGTAGTATTGGCAAAGGACATTTGAAATGATTAGAGATTGGCTATTTCTTACATACACCTACCTCTAATAGCTACTCTAAACGAAGAAAAAATAATTGAATAACAAAAAGGCAGAATTTTAAATCAGGATGGATTGGAAAATAAATTTGGAGACATCAGGTCGGTTTTGGATTTTAGAGAGAGATCAATCTCAAGAAAAGTTAATTTATCCTTTAGAACAACCAGCAGTTTAAGCAGGATCGGCTATAACTTTATTAGAAGATTTCCTTGATAATAAATTGTAATATACCAATTGTTTCAAATCAAATTGAAAAAGAGTTAAATTCGAAATTAGATTTTTCATGGGTAAAATGTTATATTCATTCAAACATTGTAAGGTAATCTATAATTAAGGTAATATGGTGGTGTAAGAGACAGGTAAGGGGCAATAACAAAAAAATTACAAAAATGTATTCATATTTAAATAGTGTTTATTATTAATATTATTTGCTATGTTTGAAAAGTACCTCCTGCTGCAGAACAGATCAAATAGATTAGACGACTAGTTGGAGAAGGTTCACCTAGTAACCAAATTAGGAGACTAGGAAAACTTTTACATGACTGGGGACACAACAAGAATGCACACCCACAAAATACACAAACAAACGAAATAACAGGGGTAAGCCTTCAGCAACATCCTGTTAAAATGATAGTATGTCATCCTTCATTCCCTTTTAGACTCAGGCCTTATACATTTGTGTTGAGTGTATGTGTGTGTTTGTTTTGTTTCCATGGTTTCTATTAAAATAAACAGTTATAACATATGGATACCTTTTTGCCAGACTAACATAAGCGACATTTGTTCAAATGGCACTTATGATAGTCTGGCAAAAAGGTATCGATATACTCTATACTTTATAAAATATTTGTTACATTAGTTTTTAAATATATTATGAATATACCGGGTGTTCAACTTAAAGCGTTACAGCTATATACGGCTTTTTATAAAAAAAACGTTTCAGACGAAAGTTTTATAGTTTTGTGGGGAAAAACTTTTGGCTAAAATCGTTTTTTATAGCTAACCATAATATGGCCAACTTTTTTTTCGCACAGCAACATTTTCAAGTAGCTGTTACTCAAAAAGTAAAAGTCCAATAAAAAAAATATTTCCCTCAAAAGTTTCTTATTTTTTTATGTACTTTAAGAATATGTAAGAAAAAAATGGGTTCCCATTTAAAAAAACAAAGTCCACCTCGATATGGCCATATTATGGCCAACTACAAAAAAATGAATTTAGCCAAAATATTTCCCCCAAAAAACTATAAAACTTTTGTCTGAAACTTTTTTCTAAAATGCATATTTTCGGCGGTATTTGACTGTAACACTTTAAAATGAACACCCGGTATAACAACTGTTACTTTCTTTGTAATTTGTCACAAAATGATAGGAGGTACTTTCTAAACATAGCAATTGTAGTTTGTTTTTCTGTACCTTACAAAAATATAATTTATAGAAAAAGAGTTTGGTGTATTATTTTTCCGAGTTTGAATATTTAATAATCAATAGAATTTTCAAGTTTTTTTTAGCGAAATTTACAAGAGTAATAAAAACTATGTTCACTGCTTATATTAAACTGATTAAAACTTCCTTTATTAAAATGATTATTTATATGATATTGGAAGTTTTTATATTTTTTAATAAACAGTGAAACAATAGTTTTTGTTTCTCCTGTAAATTTGTTGTATACAAAAACGATTTCTGAATCCATGTTTGAATTTCCCGCCCTAAAGCATTTTTAATTTTCCCGCTATTTACTAGTGGCGCCATCATAGACTGGTTGTGGTTACAATCGCCCAAATAACTTTTACAGAACAAAAAAAATACATTGAGTTACACGTCTCGCTGGATTGTCTCTGATAATACTAAGCATAGTCAAATAATGCTTTAATAAGATCTCCATGAACTTGTAGTACCTACAAAGGTTTTGAGATGACAGCGCTGCGACGATTTTTTACAGGCATGATCAATGAATGATTTTCTTTCAATGCTAACTCTATTGGATTGTTTTTGATGGCACTTTCAAACATATGAATTCAATATATACAAGGTGCGCTACGCTTAATAAGACGGAGCCTGGTGGGTAACCTACAAACGATATTAAAAATTTATGTGGTACAAATATACAACTCAACGGCGGCAACAAATTAAAATTATACCTATCTTTGATAATTCCCGATTTATTTGATATTTTTTGAAAAATTAGTGTTGTTGAAATCAATTAATTACTCTTGATTACAAAATAATTAATTAACGAATTTTTGGCAGTTCCTTACAAAATGTTGTAACGTGTTATTTCTGGCCTCCTTTTCGCGTATATATTTTTCCAAAGTCAACTTGATTATGTGCGGCATTAAATTTATTAATGAAATGAAACTTGATAGGTTATAATATGGCAACACTGGGGGCATGGTGGTTTGATAGGGTCAATGATATATATTGATCATACATGTTTTTAAAAATAAACATAAGCTTATGCCTTGAAGTAAAAATGTAATTAAATAATTTTTTTAATATATTCAAAGGCTGGAAATTGGTTTTAAAACACATTTTTGCTAAACCGATTCAAATTAATGAACACTTACCAGGCAATATGGCCGCTTGCAAACGACCCGCTTTGAGCAATCTATATGTATCATATATATGTATCATTGAACCTGTCAATAACAACAGGCCCACATGGTTGCCTTATCGTAAACTGTCACTTCCCACTGGCAGAATTTTGATAGGTCGTTGGAATGCCTAATTTCCACCGAAAACTGTTATGAAAATGAGTATTCGTAATGTTTTAATCTGAAATTATTAGTAAACAAATGAAATTTATTGATGCATAGAATCTATTAATAATAGGTCTAAAAATAGTATAGGAAACCTTGTAGAACTTTTAAAGTACGAGTAAATACAATTTCCTTCATATTTGGTACTATAAAATACATGTTGTGCTATTTAAATTAATGAAGTAATTAAATAAAACATTTTACTCTAATAAAACTTCAAATTGCAAACACACCGTACATTTTAAGTTACATTTTGTAAGGAACTGCCAATAATTCGTTAATTATTTTGTAATCAAGAGTAATTAATTAATTTCAACAACACTACACGTTGAGAAACTTCGATCGCAAAAAATACAATTGTGGGAGAGCAAAATTAAAAATTTTTAAGTAAACTTTTTTTTGGAAGCGCTTTAATATTAAAACATCATTTGACTTTTCGAGTTCTCCTTACAGCTCTTTATTTGAACGCTTGTATTTAATTTTATTAATTTTTTAATGTATCTCAACATGAATCTTATTTATTTAACAAGAAAAAATTATGAAGCTTTTTTTTTGAAAAATTTAAAATAAATATTTTTACAAGTATAGGCAAAGTCCATCCGTGGACACAGTGTATAAATATGCTTGTATGAAAAAAATGTTATATTTTTTGCAGGTAGTAAAAGCCAAAGCAGGTGCTGGATCTGCCACCCTCTCTATGGCTTATGCTGGAGCAAGGTTTGCAAACTCACTCCTCAGAGGTCTTAAGGGAGAATCAAACGTCATTGAAGCTGCCTACGTCCAGTCAGACGTGACAGAAGCTGAATATTTCTCCACACCTCTGGTATTGGGCAAGAAAGGTCTCGAGAAGAATTTAGGTTTAGGGCAACTCAGCGACTATGAACAAGAGCTTCTCAAGAAGGCAATGCCAGAATTAAAGAAAAACATTGAAGCCGGTATCAAATTCGCAAATTCGTAAAATATTGGTTTTAAAGGACATTTTTTGTTTGTTTTTATGTTTTAAGATTTAAACGGTTCAAAGTATTATCTAGTCCTCATTGTACATCATAGAAAACTTTTATTCAAATTTTGTAAGTACCTTATTTCAAAAGAATGTTAAAAAGCTGCATTTCCGTAATAAATCGTTGTTTGTATTAATCTTATTTTAATGACCTAGCAGTTTTTTTTGTCTTAGCTAAAAGAAACCCCAAAATAATTTATTTGACAGAAGTCACTAACAAAGGCAACATTTGATCCGTTTTAGTGTTTGGATCGCCAAACCAACAATAAAAAAAAAATAACGGACACAAGAATATAGGAGGAAACAAAAAATGTTTAGTTTAAAAGACACATCTGTACCAAAGGAATCTTATAACGTATAAAACGGGATTTAATACAAAAATGTAAAAATGCACTAACCAAAGAAACAATGCTTAATTAAAATGAAAAAAAAAAAATACTACTGAAGAAGGCACTGGTCAATGCCTAAAGCTTTAACCAAACAAACGATTTTTATTTAAAGTAAAAACATCCAGATACAATCTACACACCTAAAAACGACTTCTATACACAGTTAAAAAAGTATCAACTTTAGATTTCACCCTGTAATTTCCTTTACCCGACTATGTAGTCCCGATCATCTTTTTCCGATGTTTTTTGGAGCCATATCGTGGAAAACAATACACTATAAATACAATAGAATAAATAATACAAAACATACTAAACTGTTTTACACTTTAACAAAACAAAATCACCACACACTATATAATTTTCAGAACTGTGGTTACGCTGTTACAAACCATGGCGCACTTAACAAGCGGCCACGTAAATGTACTGTTATGTGAGCCATTTCATTATTCAGTCATGCTCTAACCCTACAAGTCCCTCTCTGTCTTATTTGGCCTTTGAGGCTCAACTTGTCCGATTATTATACATAATTAAACCCCTTAAGACCAAACCTATGGGACGACTATGGTGGAGACACTTTCGCGAACATTCCAGGGTCAACGAGATACTATTTCTAGAACGTGATAACGTTTCTGGTACATACTTGCAATTTTGGTGGGGGAGCTTTCTAGACCACCAATTTGTATATAAATTGGTGGAGGAGAGCCATCAGTAATCAGTAGTTATATATGGACAGTGAAGATAAATAGTAATTAGTAGATAGACAGTGGTGAATATAAATAGTGATCAGTTTAAAGACATTCGAAGTATATATAAATTAGAATAATTGTGTTATAAAATAAATAAGTGTTTAAATAAATTATTAATAAATAAACTGTTGTTTGAAAATAAACAAACATCACATTGGTGTTAAGAAGTGGAATAGTGTAAATAAATAGTGGACAATAATGGCTAAAAAACTGTGTGAATTAAAAGTGGCCGAATTGCGTCGAGAATTAGAGGATCGTGATCTGGAGACTACAGGGAAGAAAGCAGAACTGGCAGAGAGGCTTAAAGAAGCACTAGAAAATGAAGGTTTTGATTCGGAAACGTATCTATTTTCTGATGATTCATCTTCTGCTATAATTTCTTCAATTTCTTCCGATATGGAAAGTAAAATCTCTTCCTTAAAAACCGAAATGTCTTCTGATATGACTTCTATGAAAACCGATATTTCTTCCTTAGAAGAAAAGGTGTCTTCTGATATGTCTTCCGTGAAAAACGAAATCTCTTCTTTAGAAACTAAAGTTTCTTCTGATATCTCTTCTTTAAAAGACGAAATTCATGCCGACTTGGAAAACAAAATGTCTTCTCTGAAATGTGAAATTTCTGCGGATGTGGAAAATAAATGACTTCCATTGAAGAGAAAATAAAAGAAATAGAAAAGAAGATAGAAGAACTCGAACATGCAGAACCGGCCAAGGACGGTGAAATAAAGTGCCATGAGGTAGAGTCAAAGCTGAAATTGGAAGGAGCTGTAAATTCTTCTCGTGTTAAAGCCCCAACTTTTGACGGAAAGATGTCTTGGACGAACTACCTTAAGCAGTTCGAAACAGCTGCCAGAGCAAACGAGTGGTCTGAACGAGAGAAGGCAATAAATTTGACCATCGCCCTTCGAGGAGACGCTTTGGATGTCCTTCAGACTATACCCGTGGAAGAGACAGATGATTTTGAGCAACTCAAAAAGAGACTAAATATGCGATATGGCCACGAACACTTGGAGCAGGTATACAGATTACAGTTGAAGAATCGTAAACAGAAACGTGACGAGAGCCTTCAAGAATTTGAATTAGATATTGCGAAGATGGTGCGATTTGCCTACCCGTCAGCTCCAGAAAACATGATGGAATGTTTGGCTGTTCAAGCATTTGTAGATGGACTTCGTGACCATGAAATGCAAAGAACACTTCGTCTAGCCCGTCACAAAACATTGGTCGATGTCTTGTCCGCTGCTCTTGAATATGAAGCGGCTACGCTGGCTTCTGGTGGATACAGTGAAGTAAGGAGTGTAAAAGAAGAACGGAAATAAATTGGACCAATTGTTTCACATGATAAAAAGCCTTATTGAGAAGCAACCGAAGACTATTAGGTGCTGGAATTGCGGTGAAATGGGAAAAGTAAGCAGTTCGCGCAAACGTCTAAAGAACACTACGCATCGAAAAATCGTGCCGGTGGCTGTACAGGAAGGAACGGTGTTACCTGAAAGTAGTGAAACCATACGAGTAAGGCGGTTGCAAGAAACTGTAGAGAAGGCAACGCCTGTCATGGCGGAACCTTCGAAGCGCAATAAAGGTGTTGGTCAAGGAACTCTGATTGGAAAGGGTTTGGCCACATCTGTTAAAGAAATTACAGTACGAAGAACGTCGGTTGTCAGCGATGAGTGGGCCCCTGTCCAACTTAGGGAAGAACAAGAGAATGATCCCGTCTTAAAGAAGATACGAGAATGGAAAGAGGAAAATCGTCGACCTACTTGGCAAGAAGTATCGAAATTCTCTCCAGTAGTTAAATCATATTGGACTCAGTGGAACTCCTTTATCCTGGAAGATGGCTTATTAAAGCGAGTACTTGAAAATGATGACGGTTCCGAGAACAGAAGACAGTTGGTCATTCCAAGAAGTAGAGTAGCTGAAGTACTCCGTCAGTTACACGACAGTCCATCAGGAGGACATCTCGGTGTTAGGAAAACCCTTCAAAGAGTTCGGGAAAGGTTTTACTGGATGAACAGTTCCGATGATGTAAAGGACTGGTGTAAGAAATGTACCACCTGTGCTATGAGTAATGGACCTCAACGAAAAAGGAAGGCACCCATGAAGCAATACAACGTTGGTAGCCCATTTGAGAGGATCGCCTTAGATATTGCTGGACCATTCTCCGCGACCGAGGATGGTAATAAATACATTTTGGTGGTTATGGATTATTTTACAAAGTGGGTGGAAGTCTATGCCATTCCAAATCAAGAGGCCGCAACTGTTGCAGATGTATTGATAAAAGAGTTTATCTGTCGATTTAGAGTGCCCTTGGAGATCCACAGTGACCAAGACAGAAATTTTGAAAGTCAACTTTTCCGTGGAATCTGTGACAGACTAGGCATGAAGAAAACCAGAACCACAGCATTCCACCCACAATCCGATGGAATGGTAGAGCGAATGAATAAGACCATTGGCAAATATCTGTCAAAAGTGGTTTCAAACCATCAGCAAGATTGGGATCAGTATCTTTCGCTCTTTGCAATGGCTTATAGATCCGCTGTCAATGAATCAACAGGCCAAACACCAGCAAAGGTCTTGTTTGGGCGTGAGATGAGACTACCGTGCGACCTCGAGTTTGGATGCCGACCTGGAGAAGATGTAGCTGGTGAAGATTATGTGTTCCAGTTACGAAGAAGAATGGACGACATGCGACAGGATGAAGAAACGGTACGATACTCAAGCTACGGAGGGATGTTTCAAGGAAGACGAAAAAGTCTGGCTCCATAACCCAAAAAGACAAAAGGGTTATTCTCCGAAGCATCAAAGGTCTTGGGAAGGTCCGTACCTCATCAAGAATAAAATAAATGATGTAATTTACCGTATAAGTAAGATCCCAAACGGTAAACCAAAGGTAGTGCACCAAAACAGGCTGGCGTCATTTGAGGGTGACCATGAAGAAGAAGTAAACCAACTTCAAGAAACACCAGATCTTGTCTTTGAAGTATTTATGGCTGCATATGGAGGTACTGGAAAAGCCAGATATAGTGTTACGACCGAGCAACAACAAGATCTGCTCTCGCTTCCGAAAAACTACTCGCTGGTCCATAGTACTTCCGCCAGCATCAACGACGCGCGAGGACTGGCATATGTGTTCCGTAAGAAGTTTGGTCGACTGGTAGAACTTCAATATCAGTTACCAGCCCCTGGAAAAGCCTTGAAACTTCAAGACGGGTCACGGTATCTTTTTTATTTAATAACGAAGAACACCTTCCAAGACCGATCCACCTATCAGAATGTATGGGAAGCATTACTTAGTCTAAGGGAGCATGTACAGAAACTAGCCATGCCGAAGATAGAAGGAAATCAGCTGGATTGGAGGATCATTAGGAACATGGTGGAAGTAATCTTTCAAGATACCGGAGTTCAGATATTGGTCTGCAGCCATTCGCCCAGTGCCCAGGTTACAGTCCCTTGTTACTTTCATTCAACTGGAAATTGTAAAAGAGGATTCAGTTGCAAATACAACCATTCCAGTTTAGTTTCGTAAGAGTTCCAGGAGGAACTATCTCTTAAGGAGGGGGCAATGTTATGTGAGCCATTTCATTATTCAGTCATGCTCTAACCCTACAAGTCACTCTCTGTCTTATTTGGCCTTTGAGGCTCAACTTGTCCGATTATTATACATAATTAAACCCCTTAAGACCAAACCTATGGAACGACTATGGTGGAGACACTTTCGCGAACATTCCAGGGTCAACGAGATACTATTTCTAGAACGTGATAACGTTTCTGGTACATACTGGCAGTTTTGGTGGGGGAGCTTTCTAGACCACCAATTTGTATATAAATTGTTGGAGGAGAGCCATCAGTAATCAGTAGTTATATATGGACAGTGAAGATAAATAGTAATTAGTAGATAGACAGTGGTGAATATAAATAGTGATCAGTTTAAAGACATTCGAAGTATATATAAATTAGAATAATTGTGTTATAAAATAAATAAGTGTTTAAATAAATTATTAATAAATAAACTGTTGTTTGAAAATAAACAAACATCACAGTACCAAACTTTCGATGGTTCATCTCTAATGATTATATTTGTGTCAAATTGTTTGAAAAAAGAAAGGTGAGAAAATCGTTTAGATTCGAAAACTGAAAATGCAACTGGCAAACGAATGAAGGATCTACATAAGACTATATATTAAAATGGTGAAAACGTGTGGAATCAAAAACTGTTCAAGTGGTTGCAAAAGTTCAAAAAATAGTCGTTATCGTTTTTCCAAGCCTTAGTATTTTTGAAATAATTTTTATTATGTGTAATTAGTCCAATAAATTGTAGAAATTTTTAATTTTACAATTATTTATAAATTTTTTCAGTCGTCTAATAATTAATAAAAATATATTTATCTCATTATTACTTAAATGGAAACCCGCTTTTCGTCGTCTGATTTACATACGTTAGTCCTAAATATATAGTTCTCGAACTGTTCGTATTTTTAAGTTATTATTCTTAAGGTGCGTATAAATATAGCGCGCCGGGCTTCAGCCGTGCCTGGGCCAATAACGCATCAAGATTGTCAAATTTATGGGTCTACCACGCAATGGAAAGTAGCGTGTCTACTTCGGTATGATATGGCGCCGCGCTCGATAGACAGCACCATACAAATCTGATATATTTATACACACCTTTAGAGTAAACAGATAATATAGTTTAGTTAAATCACTACTGATTAGTAATAAATTCTTTAAAACAAATAAAAATAGAGATTAGGTATTCATTTACATTTTTTTAATATACATTTATTTAAAAGTATGTCACAGTAATAATTGCATTAAAAATAATTTAGTTACATACCTTTAAACTGTTTTAATGACCTTCAAAAACATTAAAAAAAAAAATCAAAACCTATTTATCAACATCAATGACAGAACGGTTTTGGGTTTGTTTTTGTTTGGTACACTATAATACAGCATATTGTTGAAAACTCAAGGTAGCTGTATGTTCTGCGGTCCACTAAAAGCGCGCTGGAAGAGAAACATTCAATAAAAACGCAGTCGAGAAATTTAGAAATGTTAAACTACGCAAAAAAAATAGTTGTGTACACGCTATCAGGGATAAAATAAAACGACAATTAGCAGAACATTTTTATTAAAAATTAGAACATTTAAACATTTACGAAGACTATTTCAAAAATAAGTCGGTACTGAAAAGCGATTGGCAATACTGATTACTTCGCGCATTCGTCGTGAGATTAGGAGAGGCCGCTCATCGTCAAGCAAAGGTGAACAACAATGAACTGGCAGAAATATATCAGTTATGTGCCCAACGAACCAGTTGAAACTACTGTGCATACGAGAATCAATAAGTATTGCCAATCGACCTTACTTTTGGAATGACCTCGTATATTTTTCAAAATATTTTTTTCATTAAATAAAAAAAAACAAATGAACTTCTAGAACAAAGCTAAAATATAAAAAAGTCAATATTCCAATATAATTTTCGATAGAAAATACAATAGATGTACATATAACAGATGACTTAAGTAGTAAAAAGTTCAGTTTAGCTTGCACTGCAAAGGAAAACAAAATGTTATGTAACTACTACAATCATGGATGCCGAATATTATGATGCACCGCGACAATTGCAATACAGGAACATTTTTTGACACACTTTACTTCTATTTATTTTATATGTATGGAAATATGTATTTCTAGTTCAACAACAAAAACCTTTAGACAAAGTATATAACAAATAAAAAACGAGCCTTGTCAGCACATTTAATCCATATTAGATTTTTAAGTCTAAAATACTAATTTAATTAGAATTAATTTGGTATATCGACTTATCCAATGAAGACTCCTTTTTTAATTTTCGAGTTATATCGATTTTAGGTAATGAATATATCAGAAGTGGTGAATTGGGAATCAATAACAAAAGAAAAATGTGTTTAGTCACATGTAATGAGGATAGACTATTAAGAACATTAGGCTCCACAGATTGATATAAAAATAATTAAAAATTTAAATTATATGAATGCACCTTTTACTATATTTTTTGAAGTGAAGATAATAAATTAGATGGTTATTATATGAATAATAATAACATACACTCAAAATGGGAAAATAAAGAATATAAGAAATGCAGACTGTAGCAAATTTTCAAAAAATATTCTTGGCGAAGGAAAAAACGGCTGATAATGAGAATGTATTGCTAGTCGCTTGAGGCAGGATAACCAATAAATAAGTTAATAGAGATTCGTCAAATAAGAAAATGTAAACGTAGACCTTTTAAATATGATTGATAATTCAAAAGTACTTAATGGAAATGCAAAAAATCGAAGATCAACTCCAAACTAACAGATTTGATCAAAATTCGGTTTTGCTATGCAAGCAATTGACCTTTCCCATTTTTCGACAATTTCGCGAAAAAAGCGCGGGAAATTTGAATTTAGTAATTTTCTAAACACTTTTTGTTATCTCTCTCTTATTCTCGCCTTACATCTGTTGGGTTGGCTACAACGATTACTTTAAACAACTATCATCGATTCTATATAGCAGGGAGCCACTAAAATTTTTTTGGTATACATTTGTACAAGGCTAAATTACAAATTTATCGTTAATTCTTAACCTGTAGAAGATGGAAATATTTTGCTGCAATAGGACTAGCGGTGAAATGCCCTGTGAGCCTAATGTCAAGAAAGTGGCAACAAACTTTTTTTTTTACTATAACTTTTGATGTAAATAATATCTAAAAATTTCAAGTTTGCACTTCTATGACAGCATTTTCTACACGGGCATTTTTAAAACGTTATCGTAGAGGGCCCCAACGCTGCGCAGTTATTTCCTTGTTCTACAAAATAAGAATGAACGAAATATTTGTAATTTTAGCCTTGGCAATTAACAAACGGGAAAGGTCTATTAAACGTATTTTTTTAATAGCTTTGTATTACTTTAAAAATACTCAAAACGTCCATTTTACAAGACTCCATTCAAAAACTTGACAATAAGGATAAATAAACGGATTTACCAGCCATGATAACCTAGTTGAAAGACTATGAGAGAAGAACTAGCTTTTATTCTAAGCCAAATTTCTAGTTTTTAGCAAATTGAGATTCTGATTTGAAAAGCGTTTGCGATGTTAAAGTATAATAAATGAGTCTGCACATGGATAAGTCGATTTCATCCACAAAATATCAGATCTAGGAAGTCATTGGAATATTCTAATATTTCATATGGTTACCTTAAAACATGTAACTGTAAGTTATGTTGTACACTGATTTATTAGAAACAGATGTAGTTCATTGTCAGTTACGTCAAAATTATTGCTTTAGCAGCTAACTCTTTCAGCTGCATATAATATAGACGGGTCCCAGAAAAAAGGTCGAATACGAAATGAGTTCTAAAATATCGATCAATAATAAATCGAAAAATAAAAGGTTGAAAGACAAAATATAGGAAAATAAACGATAATTGCAATATTCAAAAAACAAAAAAAAATCGAAAAAACAATTGTTACGACTCCAATAAGTCGATAAAAAAATATGCTGTTTAAACATTTTTGATTTATGATTCTAAGGATAAAGACAGAATTATAATATTTTCCACAAAGAAGCATTTAAACGTACTTTGTAACGGTTAACAATGGTTTGTTGATGGCACATTTAAAACTGTGTCAAGTTTATTTTACCAATTATTTTCAATTCATGGTGAAGTTAATGGTGCAAATTATCCTCTAATATACGCACTATTAACAAAAAACCGAACAGATTCATATAAAAATTTTTGAGCAAGTAAGAACACTTCCATTTCCAAAAGTAAGCATCATTATAAGCGATTTTGAAAAAGCAGTTATAAACACTTGCGATTTACTCTTTCCTGATGCCATCAAACAGGAATGCTATTTTCATTTTAGACAAGCAGTTTACAGAAATATTAAAAATTTCGGACTTAAACTTAATTATGATATACATAATGAATTCCAACTTAATGTAAAAATGTTCATTGCTCTTTATTTCATTCCCACCGTTTATGTTGGAAAATCATTTGAATATCTGTGTGCCAGTGATATTTTATCTAACGATATTACACCGATTAAAAACTATTTTGAAGAAGTTTGAGTTGGTAAGATTGATAAGAAAACCTACGTTTGAGCAATACCTATGGAATTATTACGTTAAAACGTTATAAGAAGAACCAAGAACTAATATTGTAAATCGTGGCATAACAGTTCAAAAAGCAACTTACAGGATAAAAATCCGTCAATTTGGGCATTTTTAAAAGGTATTTGAAGAGAAGAAGCTTATCAAGAATTAAAGTTAAACCAGCAAATGGCAGGCTATGAGAAGGAACCTCCCAAGAAACAAAAGCAACAGGTTAAGGAACAGTTTTAAAGTTTGAAATTAATTTTGGACTATTTTATAAATTATATATCAGAAATTCCTTTTATCTATATTTTTTAGTTATTGTTTTGGATGTTTTTTGTTAATTGTGCTTGTAAGTTATTTATCGTTAAATAAAAATCTTTTCATTAACAAATGTTTTGCAATTAGATATTTTATATTTGACTTATTTTTTCGATTTTTGGTTTTCAGTTTTTCATACATACGACCTATTATTATTTGAACATTTTGTCATTCATTATTTTCTAATTTCAAAACTTTAGTGTTCGACCTTCTATTTCGACATATTTTTCAATATTTCCTTTTATCATCTATTATTTTTCGACCTTTTCTCCGGGACCCATGACATGAATTAAATTCAGGAAATATTTTAAACTCAGATATCCTGTGATGTATTGTGATTTACATTTTATTTTTAATGATAGTTATATTTTATTTACAATGACACTTATTGGAACTTGAAGTAGTATATCCAATATAAAAAGTTATTCGTGAAAGGAATAGCTGTCATACTGTCAAATTTGTAAAGTGTTTCATATTTGAAGGATTTTGGGCACTTTTTAAGTAGCGAAATAATACTTCAAAAACACTGCATGTGCAGTGAATATTTTTATTAAATGTACCATTCCTTCAAATTTTAAATTATGAGGGACCAAAATAACGGAATTAGTTGCTGTGAGGAGGCATTCTTGTAGTAAAAACTTCACTTGACGTGTGTGTCCTAAAGACCCCTCTGTATCAGTTTACCTAGACATATTGCTCAGTCTACAGTCGGCCTAGGTCTTTCTTGTAGATCCTTTTAATGCCCTTGCCGTTTTCGTAATGGCTGATTTACAAGCAAAATGTACAGCAGTTGATTGGAGTGAGAAGAAATTTTTAAACAAAACTGTCCCTCCATTTACAATATTACCCTGAAGACTCGAAAACGACGAAATTAAAATGTCTTGAGCAGTGTAAAATAAGCAGAATACTTAATTTTAAGGGGAACCTCCTATTGCTGCATCGTACAGCTTAACTTTCCTTTTCAACCAATCAAATAAGTAAAAAATTATGTAAACTTTGTAACAAAATAAATAACATTATTTGTAGCAGTTTATAAAATCGAAGAAAGACGTTTATTATGATTATTTAATTATAAACGACAAAAACATTGTTATGAATAATTTTATGTTTGTTCTATGAATCCATTTACAAATTTGGTATTATTATTATTATTATCATCAAAACAGTACTCTAAAAGGATTTGCTCTCACACCCTCAAGGTGCAATTTGAAAAACTCGGCACCCATGATTTGTATCATGTGCAGGTTCAAAGGCCAGCTTTTTTGCAGTGTACCTATAGCATAATAAACAATCCAATTATAGTACTGAAATGGTTAACAAAGAATAACACAGAAAAATTAAATATTAAGGTTTACATAACCGTTACACTTAGATAAAAATAAATAACAGAAACGATTAAATGAACTTTAGAACTAAATAAACTTTTTAAACATGAAACATTTATAAAAAAATGAGTTTCCTTTACAATAGTAAGTTCGTACACCTGTTTATGATTAAAGTTATTACAATTTTACGATATTCTTAAAATTGAAAACTTTCTGGGAATGACAGATATATAAGGAGAAAAGGTGCAAAAATTCTTAAAGTAAAAACAAGCATAAGAATAAAAAAATGTAATTTTTATACTTCTACGGCAATCCCCCTATTAATGAGTTCCTTTTCAATGCAAATATCTTCAGACGAGGATGTGTCTATTAATACGAGATCTAAAACTAAATCAGAGTCATAGAGTTGGTCTCTTTCCAACTTTAGTAAAATCGAATAAAAATGTTTTCTTTCTACCATCTCTTTAAATTCATCACAGTGTTCCATTGTCCAGTTTGGGTGTTTTGGTTTAATGCCTAAAACCAACAAAAAATAAACAGTTTAGAAACATATTTTTTATTGATTAATTGACACATTGATTAATAATTCTTAGTACTTAAGTGAAATCATTCTGTATTTCTAAATAAACTTTTTGTAAGGAAAAAATTTGAAATCCAACTTTAAGATAAGGTTTTTTGTTCTAAACAAACATGATCATAAAGAAGAAATAACTGCTGCGATTTATTATCTTGTGAATTTTGTGTTCAGTAATAAATTCACGATTCTACGATAATTTTATTTCGGTTAAAAAAAAAATTGGACTAACAGAGGGGAAGAATTATTGCTCTAATTGAAAAAAGAATGCTCCAAAAAGACGTAGCAGAGGTAGTAGGCGGTACTATATCAAAAACATATGCAAGGTACTTGGAACTCTCAAGAACAAGCACAGACAAATTCGTCAAAAAGTCACAATGAACAACAGGAGCGCTTTGTGTGCTAAATTGTTAGAAGAAATCACAGTGTTTCTCATCCAGAGCTGCAACGACAACTTCTGGAAGCTACAGATGTGAACGTTTCAGCTGAGACCATAAGAAGTAGAAGACACTTACGGGTCCCACAGTTATCTTGGCAAAATAAAATTGTCCGGCTAAATTGGTGCAAAATGTTCTTTTTTTCGGATGAGACCAGAACTGGCCTAAGATCAGATGACCATAGAAATCGGGTTCTCAGAGCTCCAGGGAGACGAGCGAGACTCCAGGCTGCCAGATCTGTCACAAGATATCAAGGAGGAACTGTTATGTTCTGGGGAGGTATTGTGCTGGCAGCAAAAACTCAATTGTTACCACTTCAACAAACTTTAACTGGTCGAAGGTATGTTGATTTAGTGCTAGAACCAATCGTTAGGCTTTGGAGATCTGCAATTGTGGATCATTTTAAAACAGTTTTAGATTGGCCTGCATGTTCACCAGTCCTAAATCATTTCAAACACTTGTGGGACCAGATCAAAAAAAGGGTTAGAGCTCGTCGATACAATGCAGGAAATGTCGCACAGCTTATTGATGCAGCAATACCACAAGACAATGTTGACAATTTAATAAGAAGCATTCCAAGGCGAATAGAAGCTTGCATAAGGGCTAGAGGTGGTAACACGGATTATTAAAATTACCATTTTTTTTTGTATTTGCTTTTTGGCCATTAAAAAATTAAATCTTATTTCGTTTCAGAAACCAAAAAAATACCGTTGTGGTTATTTTGTCAACTAATTTTTTCTTATTGCTATGCGGGTTATTTTTCATTAAAATTCTTTGGTAAGGACTAAGTTTTATTTTTTATAAACAAAAAATGTTCATACATCTCTAAAATTATGAAAAATAATAGATGATTCCGTATTAGTTTGGTTGTGTGTATTCTTAGTAATCAAAGCAACAAATTGTAAACACTTTATAGATTTCAATAGTTCAAAAAATATAAAACCATTATTAGAGTTATTATGCAAGTAGCTCTCAAAACTATAAAACAGTGGTGTAAGTACCATTAACTGTCTATCAATCCTAAGAAGACTTAAATGGTCCTTTTCACGAGGAAGCGGATGAAAATGGAATTAAAACCTCCTAAACACAAAACTAAACTTTGCAACAGAGGTGAAGTACTTAGGTCTCACCTTTGACAGCAAGTTAACATGGAACTCGCATTTAGAAAACAGTCAAAAGAGCATACATTGCTTATGAACAATGCCGCCGAACCGTGGGGCGCACCTGGGGTTTCTCACCCAGAATCGTCGCTTGGACACGGCTATCATAAGACCTATGTTAACATACGTTGCAGTTGTCTGAGTACCAATAACCCAAAAATTAACAGCTATCCGTAAACTAGAAAAAATTCAAAGAACAGCATGTCTCAACATAACAGGAGCCATGTAAACAACACCGACCAGAGCCATGGAAGTCATTCTTAGTCTCACTTCCCTTGATATTTACATCAAGGAGGTTGCTCTGACGATAATGACACGCCTCCGCACGGTTGGAATTTGGAATAGAACCTGATGTAAGATCTAGTACGGCGAGACGTGGCTTTTGGCAGGAGGCGCTCGATACGTTCCCACTGCTTCAAGCGAACATGGACTCCATCTCACCGAGATATATCTTCCATAAGTCATATAAAGTTGTAACAGAACAAACAGAAGAGCCGGAAGTGGCAGGTACGATTCATATCTACACCGACGGTTCTAAAACAAAACAAGGCTCAGGATGTGGCATATACTCCAGATCCTTAAACCTTAACATAAAATGGGCTGTGAGCAATAGTGCCAGTGTAGTTCAAATAGAGCTCACAGGGATTCTCACAGCAGTAAAAGAAATCACCACAATATCACTGCAAGGAACATGCTCATCTACACAGATAGTAGACAAGCACTACTCACCCTGAACAGACCACGAATTTATTCAGGGTTAGTACTAGAATGTCACGAAGTTTTGGCCGAAATATCCAACAGCAACGTGGTCACCTTAAGATGGATCAAAGGTTACGCCACATCGAAAGGTAACCGTCTTGCTGATTCACTGGCCAAGAAAGCAGCCAACCAAATACTTTTTGGAACTGGCCCTTCCAGCGACGGACCTAATTAAAGAACATTCCCTTGTGAAATTAAAGGAAAGATGGGATGAAACAAGAAACTGCAGAGTTACCAGGGAGCTTTTAAGTTATCCTGACAACACTGCAACGAACAAATACTTGACTATGACTAGACATAATCTGCGCCTAGTCACAGGCATTCTGACTGGGCATTGCCAGTACGGAAGCAGTTCCATATCATGGGGGTATCAGAATCCGCACTCTGTAGAGGGTGCGAACAAGAAGATGAGACCATCGAGCCTATCCTTTACGATTGCTCGACGCTCTCATATTATTAAAAGATTTGCGTTCGGCGAGTATCGGCCGATATAAGAGAAGCAGTTCTTGGCGACGTTGTCAACTACATCAAATATGTAGGCTGGCTCACGAGTGTCAATCATCTTAGGAGGATGCACAATGGGCCTAGTGAGGACTAAGTGCTGTGGAGGTAACCCACCCTCCACAGTTAAAATTAATTTGTTCGGTTATCAGAAAAGTGAAGCATTATAAAAAAAAATATTAAAATTTATTAAATAAAAATAGCCATGAATATTTCTCGAATGGCAAAGTTCCCATAGGCTGTTAATAATTCAATAAAATTTCATAAAACAATATGCCTCATCTGGTTATCAGATGGGTGAAGGTCGATCTCCCACGATCTCTTAGACTATATATTTAAAAAGAGAATACAAAAAAATTCAAATCAAGTTACCCGATTTAAAATATTGACATTTAATTTATTTCGATATTTTTGAAAATCACAAACAATAAAATGGACATAACAGTAATAGTAGAGATAACAATACATATTAAATAAATTGCGAATAACATTACATAAGACTTATTGCCTCATGTTAAATATTATCAAAATAATATGTGTTGTTTTTAATTAACAGTGCTGTTCCTAAAGTGGCGCTGGGAAACAATAACAAAGCCTACACAGAACACGAGGCGAAATAACCTTAGCAGTTGAAGCCGATGACACACAAAAAAAAACAGTTACCGCTACTCTGTATTGTCCACCTCTAATTATAAACTGTCAATGTATACACGCAAGCATTTGCAGACGACATAAGCATCGTAGTAAACGGTAAATTTGGGACTGTTGTATCCGAAAGGATGCAGCGGGCACTAAATATCGTCGAAAGATGGTGCCTAAAAGAGGGATTGTCCACAAACCCGACAAAAACCTCTATTGTTGCATTCACAAGAAAAAGGAACCTTCAAGGAATGAAGGAGCTTTATATGTGGGGACGACATCTAAAAATGGCAAAGGAGGTTAAATATCTTGGAATCATTATCGATGACAAGCTTAGCTTCTGCAGCCATATAGAAAAAACAACAGAAAAAGCTGTAAGAATACTATGGGCCTGTAGACGGATGGTAGGGAACGCATGGGGGCTTAAACCAAGTATGATGCACTGGCTTTACACTATGGTTGTAGTACCTGTTATAACTTACTCATCAGTCATATGGTGGCACAAGACTAAAAGCATAACAGCTAAAAGAAAATTAGACAAGGTACAAAGACTAGCCTGTCTAATAATAACAGGGGCATTTAGAACTAGGCCCACAGCATCAATGGAGCTACTGCTAGGTCTTCCTCCACTACACCTTGTGGTGGAGAAGGAGGCTATGGCGGCGGCATACAGGCTGTTTACTAATGGATTTGGATGGGAACTTTCGAGAAAAGGACACCACACAATGATATTAGAGAAATTAAAACAAAATCCGGTACTAAGAATGCCATCGGATAGAACGCCCATTATTCACGTCTTCAGGAAACCTTTTGATATTCAAATACCAGAAAGGGCCAAAAGCCGGAAAAAAAGGGAAAAACAAAACGAATCAATCTGGTATACAGACGGTTCGAAAATGAAAAACAGCACAGGGGCTGGGATCTACGATGTGAACTCAGGGAGGACAATCAGTTTGAACCTGGGGTCACTGACAACAGTCTTCCAGGCTGAAGTAACAGCAATAAATGCATGCGCCAAAGTCATGCGAAATGACTCTCTTAGAGATAAGAGAATCGTTATCATGACAGACAGTCCTTAAAGCACTAAAAAGGGTAGAAGTACAATCTAAATCAATATTTGATTGCCAACAGTCCCTCCAGGCTCTGGCAGAACATAACAAGGTCACTCTTGAATGGGTGCCAGGTCATGAGGGAGTGCTTGGAAACGAGAAAGCAGACCTCCTAGCAAGGAAGGGAGCGGAAAAAACTCTTATTGGACCAGAACCCACATGTGGTATCTCATACCAACATGTTAAATGGGTGTTAAAGGAACAAATAAAAAGAGAACACCATAGGCTCTGGATGGAACTTCCTGGACTTAGACAGTCCAAAAGATTCATAGAGGGGCCATCCACGAGCAGACAACACCAACTGCTAAACCTTAGCAGAAGCGAACTCAAGGCCGTAATAGGACTCCTTACGGGACACTGCGGCCTTAGAAGACACCTAAATCTCTTAGGGATATCTGACTCCCTATGTAGAATATGTGAAGAGGACGACGAAACTCCTATTCACATACTATGCCACTGCCGGAACCTTAAATGGGAACGGGAATGGCACTTCGGGGTACAATATCCGGAACCTGAAGAAATCGCGAAAGCGCCCATCAGACATATTCTTGAATTCATCAAGAAAATCAATCTGATGGGATAGAAACTGTGAGGGGTACAATAAGCCTAGAGCTTCAGTACAAGTGGGCTTTGAACCACGCCCTAATTCAGATGATGATGATGATAAACTGTCAATTACCAAAGAACAATAAAGTTCAGTTCATGCAGAATATTCAAACCCATACATACCAGAACAAAACGGGATGTCAGAAAGATTAAATCGCTCAATAGTTGAGAAAGCAAAATGTCTGTTATTTGATAATAATCTGGAAACGAAATTCTGGGCAGAGGCTGTAAATACAGCCGTTTTCTTGAGAAACATATCTGCAGTATCAGGATTAGATAATAAAACGCCTTATGAGATTTGGTAAAAGCCTGATGTATCCCCAAAGGAACAAAGAATAAAATGGGATAAGAAAGCTAAACTACATATTTTAGTAGAGTATGGAGAAAAGGTTATAGAGTCTATGATCCCACTACAAATAAAATTACAACTAGTAGAAATGTAGTAATAATGGAAGATACTAAAAACAAAAATATCGATATAAATAAAATACCAGTTTTAGTGGGAGAATCCGAAACATATCTAGAAATTTCAGAGCAAACAAATGAAATAGAAAATCTAGAAATAAGTTCAGGAAGAGAGGATAGTGATGACAGTGACTATACACCAGAACAGGAAGAGGAAGAGCCTGAAGTATTAAAAAAATCAGAGAGAATGCTAAAAACAAAAAAAAATTGATGACTATGTATCATACATCTGCTCAGACAGCACTGATTTAGGCCATGACCCAATTACTGTTGAAAATGCTTTGTCAAGGCCAGATAAAGAAAGTGGCAGCAGGCAATGGTGGAGGAACTACAATCCTTTGAAGACAATGAAGTCTGGGAGATTGTGGATGTTCTAGATAGTGGCACCATAGTTCAGTGTAAGTGGGTGTTTAAAAAGAAAATTGATTGTGAAAATAAAGTGCGGTATAGAGCAACGTTAGTGGCAAAGGGTTTTACTCAACAATATGGCATTGGTTATAATGAAACCTTTTCTCCTGTTGTCAGGCACTCCACATTAAGATTATTAATAGCATTATCTGTAGAATTAAATTTAGAAATAGTACATTTGACGTTGCTACAGCTTTTTTGAATCGTTTTTTAAATGAAAATGTGTATATGATGAAACCCGAAGGTTTTGATAAAACTGATTCGGAAGGAAAGGTTTTAAAATTAAAAAAGGCAATCTATGGTTTGAAACAATCTTCGCGTGCTTGGAATAAAAGTTCATGATTTTTTGTGTAATCTAGGTTATACAAAATCGCAGTATGAGCCTTGTTTATATATGAAAACCATAGATAGTCTTTTGACAATAATAACATTATATGTTTATTTCTTTATTTTTCCAATAATGTTAGTGAAATAAATCATTTAAAACATAAGTTAAGTTTAAAATTTAAAATAAAGGATTTAGGTCAAGTTAAGCAATGTTTGGGAATGAGAGTGACTCTATGGATAAATCTAAAAATGTTATAACTTTGGATCAGAAGCATTATATAGATCAGTTAGTAAAAACATTTAATATGTTAGATTGTAAGGGGGTAGCGACTCCAATTGAAACTAATTTAAAACTGACTAAAGCAGATCAGATTAAAATTGATGTACTCTATCAACAGTTAATTGGCAGTTTAATGTATTTAGCAGTTTTAACTAGATCTGATATTGCTTATCAAGTGAGTTATTTAAGCCAATTCAATAATTGTTACTCTGAAGAACATTGGAATTGTTTAAAAAGATTGCTTGGGTATTTAAAAGCAACTAATAATTATGGTTTGAAATTTGTTAAAGAAAATGCAGAGTAGAGGGTCTTGTAGATGCTGATTGGGGCGGTAATGTGGTAGACCGTAAATCATATACAGGATATTGTTTTAAATTGTCTAATTCTGCAATTTCTTGGGAGAGCAAAAAACAAAATACCGTGGCATTAAGTAGCACAGAGGCTGAATATATGGCACTTTCTGAGGCTTCAAATGATGCAATTTATTTTAGAAATTTATTGTTCGAGTTAACAGGTAATTTATGTTGTATCACTTTATATAATGATAATCAAAGTGCTCAAAAATTGGCCCCAAACCCAGTGATGCATAAGAGAACAAAACACATTGATGTGCGACATCATTTTGTAAGGGAAGTTAGTCAAAATAAGTTTATAGAAATTAAATATTTAGACTCGAATAATATGCCTGCAGATTTGTTAACGAAAAGTTTATGCTCAGCTAAACATTGTAAATTTATGAACGTTTTAGGAATTGTCAATTTGTAACGTTAATATTTTTTTGATAAGTGGGAGTTTTATATATCAAAATAATATGTAACAGTTACCGATACTCTGTATTGTCCACCTCTAATTATAAACTGTCAATTGCCAAAGAAAAATAAAGTTCAGTTCATGCAGAATATTCAAACTGGAAGCTCGTTGTTTTCTTTACCTTCATCTGCTTTATCAACTCAAACATTAGCGAAAAAATACAACTTAGCTTATTCACGATTTATGGATTGGCGCCAATAAAATAAGGTGAACTGCTTATCAGAAAATATTTTATTGGCTTATTTTGGGAGCCTTCGAAGTATTTAAAATCTTCTACATTATGGTCAATTTACTCAATATTTAAAAAAAAATGAAAATTCACAACTGGGTAGATATGCTAAAAATCCTAATGTAAAGTATATATAACAAAAAAATAAGTGAATAAATTATACCTTTTTTTGGTGTCATCGGCATCGACTACTAAGGCCATTAGCCTCGTGTTCTGTGTAGGCGTTGTTACTGTTTCCCAGCGCCACTTGAGGAACAGCACTGTTAATTAGAACCCAACAGTGAATGGTCGAGTGGGGAATCCTACCAAGGCATCAGAATTAATTTTAAATAATTAAATTAAATAAAAAAATCCCGGCCAACGGTGGGAATTATACCTTTTAAAATTTAAATTAAATTTAGATTAAAGAAAAGAAAATGTGTTACAAATTTAAAAAGTGATAATAATACATATTTCTAATTTTAAATCGTTAATAAAGTTCATCAAATTATTTTAAAAAATGTGTAATTTTAGTTATTATGGTCGTAGAAAAAGTATAGTGTGCCACTCGTGAAGAAAATCTATTCGACACTCGTATGACTGGTTACTTTCTATACTTTGTAAAGTTATGTTTGTGGTTGTATTATAGTATTAATAAAAAGTACGAGTAACATATTGAAGTAGTTTATAAAGTTTTGTTTGTGGTTGTATTATAGTATTAATAAAAAGTACGAGTAACATGTTATAAAATCTTTTATTTATTTTTCTTTAACTTACCAGAAAGTTTGGCCTTCAGTGCTTGATAAGGTAACTCCATAAATTCTATATCTAAAGGAATCAACTGCTGCAAAGTCAAATTGGCATAGTAGCCGAAATCACAGTAGAATACTGAAATTGATCCATCATGGATTACTTTAATGACACTGGTCCTAAAAATTACATTATTATTTGGTTATTTTATTATTAATAATTATTAAATCAATGGTAGGCAGTATATGGTGACTTTGTTGTTTGCTTAGAGTAGGTTTGAAGTTTTGATATCCAATAAGTAGAAAATAGTAGGTTTTTACCTTGAGCTAATAAGGATTATTAAAAAAAGGGAGATAGCAGGATAGTTTATGGTGTAAGTAATCAATACTATCAGTTTGACTTTAATGACATTTCTCTGAATAAACGTGATATTTTACTGCATTTCTAAATAGTTAATGGTCTTAATGGAATAGTAGCGCCAATCTTTATTTAAATCATCACAAAGAAATTTTATGCAACAATAAAGGAGGTGAGAATAAGGTTAATAAAATTACGTAATTTTAAAATACCTACAGATACAATATTTTTTAGAACAATGATAATTTCCTGAATTAATTAATAATAAATTATTGACCTATAATTAAAGAAAAATAATTCAAGGTTAAAATTTGAAGTTAGGAAAAAAGAGCGTAAGCAAAACAATTCATTCAGCTTCAGCTCAATCGATTATGAAACATGTTTTATGATTCTTAAAACACGTTTTATGACGATAAACCCGACCATTTATAAAAACGTGTTTTAAGAATCCTAGAACATATTTCATAATCGGTTATACCGACGCTGAACGATCGATTTGTTTTCTTAACCTTAAATTTTAAACTTTATTTGATTTCCTTTAATTACACAGGGGAACAGCTGTTTTGGTGTCGAGGTTTTTTGAGCTGATTCTATATTAATTTGATGTCCTGAATTCAAATAACGTATTCTTCTTACCTAGGAGCTCAAATTTTTAAGATATACAATTTTAGAGAAATATAAGTTACATTATTTTAACTCAAATCCGTAAGTGTAGTAAACAAAAGTAGATACGAAATTTTTATTTTAGTTATACAAAATACAATTTTTTACAAACAAAAAAACATTGAAGAAATCAAATAGTCACTCAACACATCGAAAGCTTCTTTTCCGCGACATTCTTGAATGTTTTTTTAAACAGTCTCTTTTTAAACTCCAGCAGTAATCTGCCATCATGTGCATGTCCCATCTTCCTTGGTAGTGGTCCTCCACAACTTTAATATCTTGGTGAAATCTTTCACCTTGTTCCCCACTCATGTCTCCTAAATTTTCTGGAAAACGGTCTAAGTGGTTGTGTAAATAATGTATTTTAATACTCATATTGCACCCTAAGGATCTTGTTAACCATTTCAACATAGTTTTGAGCTTTATGTTTGCCTAGAAAATTTTCTACAACTGCAACAAATGATGTCCAATACTACCTCGTTCAACTTGATTCATTGAATTTATGAAGGCAGGATCCTTAATTAATTGTCTTATTTGTGGGCCGTCAAATATCCCTGCTTTGAGTTTTTCTGTGCTCAACTGATGCATTTTTACCCCTATATATGCAAAAAATGACCCATTCTTATCAAGAGCCTTTACAAATTGCTTCATTAAGCCCAACTTTATATGTAACGAAGGAAGTATGATTTTTTCTCTTTCAACCAAAGCGTCGTTAATGACATTCTTTTCCCCAACGTCCATGTTTTCTCTTTGAGGCCAATCTTTTCTAACCCAGTGGTGTGTTTTATCCCTACTATCCCAGAGGCACAAGAAACACGGATATTTCGTGTAACCACTTTGCTGCCCAAGAAGAAAATTTACCATTTTTAAGTCTACACAAATCATCCATTGATGTTCGCGATACTTTATCTTCTGCAAGACCAAAGCTACGGTATTATATTCTTCTTTCAGTTTCGTTGAGTGAGCTAGTGGTATTGAACCATATTTATTCCCATTATGTAGGACACATTTTAAACTTCTCTTTGAACTGTCAATAAATAGGCGCCAATCATCTGGAATATATTCAGAAAGTCCCATTTCTTTCATGAGTCCATTAATTTCGTGACAAAATACAAGATTGTCTTCTTGAGAAAAGAATGGCAGCAGATACTTTTCTCTTGTACGGTAAATAGTAATTTTGGTTCCTTGTTCCAATACATTTTTGTCGTTCAACCTAGAAGCCAGTATTTCAGAAGCTTTTTTCGATAAATTGAGATCCCTGGTGAGATCATTTAATTCATTTTGATTGAAGCGTTGAGGAACTGCTGACGGCTCCTCATAGTCACTGTTAGTTTCATTAGCATCAGAACTTTTATTAGCATCAGAACAGCGATCAGAGGGAAAATATTCATCTGAGTGCGGGATAGGGCGTATTGCCGAGTCTACATTGGGATAAGTCCACTTACTGCTTTTATTTCGATTGATTCCTTTAGTATTTACTAAACAGAAATAACAATCATTGAAGTGGTTTTTTGGTTCTCTCCAAACCATTGGTACGCCGAATTTAGACATTTTCTTTTCCCGGTAGTCCACTGTCGTAAATGCTCTGTACAAGTTTTACATACGAGATGCGGGACCCACTTTTTGTCCTGATCACCAAGGTTAACTCCAAAATATCCAAGATACACTCGCTTTTCAAAGTCAGTATTAGTTTGTCTGTTTTGTTGAAACATGTATTCTCCGCATATATAGCAAAACACATCAGGTTAATTTACACAACTTCTTCTTGAACTGGAACCTGAACTCATTTTAATTCTGTTCAATAACACAAAAACACTCTTTTCTTAACATAAAATAACACGCCGAATTCGATCTACTCTCATTAGTAAGAACGCACAAACTGACGAGACTTACCCGAGTTAGGGGATTAAAAGGGTCAGTTCAGGTACCTGATAGGCAATGGTTCCACTATTTATAGATTTACCTAGAATATACTCAATTACAGACTGACAATAAAACCATTGTACCTACATTAATGAATATATAATAATTTTAGAACTCTTATAAATGAATATACTGAATAAAAACCACATTGGTAGATAAGTTGATGTATCTAAAAAAGTAGAGCTGATAGAGAAAAACGGATTGCATGTACAGATTTAGTGTCCCAAATATAGTTAAAATCAGCTCTAAAATCCCAGGCACCAAAAAAAATATTTTTTTGTTGCCCTGTGTTATAGGCGAATAATTAACAATTACTACCGTGTACTCTATGTTTTCATAACGAATATCTATTCCTTTTAATCAAAATCTAGACAAAATGCATATTTATAAAATAAATAACAACCAATACAGGGCCGCATAGCTCGTTCCAATTTTATATATCTAGGAAAAAATCAAAGCTGTCTTTCAAGTTAGCATTTTCTACACTATTAACTCACCTGTACCAATTGCCATCATCGTACTTCGAAGCATAAATATTTCCAGGAATAATATCATCGATTGTTAGAGGGCTATAAGCAACATTTTTGTATCGCACCTGTAACTGCTCCATCAGTTTGTGCAGCTTAGGCCGAGATTCCAATGGTTGCACGAAAAAATTATAAGGGTTAACAGCGAACGGAACGTGCACCTCAAAATACTTGTTGGTATCTGGAAGCAGCGGACACTTTAGTTTTCCACCGGACGGGACGTTTTCTAAAAAAATATGAGCATGAAATATCGCTTCTATTTTACAGCATATAAAAACTTACTGGATCCTTCTGTAGATAAAATTATCTTTCTTGTACTTTTAATACTAGCAATATCGCCTTTCCTAAAATATAAATAATGTATTAGTAGTAATAGTATATTTTTAACAATAAATTATATTTTACGTCTATTATTTAAATACTTATACTTTTTACTTTCCTGTCTGTATACAGATTAGGAAAGTATATGAATCATGATTTTTTCGACCTCGTTTTCGACGGATTTTTATTTTTTGGGGTCCACTGAATCCGTTTGGACTATTTACGCGATCATGTCTGTTAGCGTGCGTGTGTGTATACTCGATACCTCATGAAAGGATACAGAGAAAAATACCAAGTTTTAAACTTAAGCTTTAATCCATCCTGCGGTGAAGAAGAAAATTCTTCAAACAAAAGTTGTTTCTGATGTTATTCTCTATAATTCTTGTCCTACACATAATTTCTCTAAAATGAACCATATTCGAGATATCTGAGAAAAAGTGTAAATTTCGAATATAATTCAAAAATGGATAAAGAGAAAACACCAAATTTTAAATTTAAGCTTTATAACAAAAATCTGATGTGAACACATGACTTTCCTGTACAGTTATTACAGGCGTTTTCCAGTTATTTTGTACCTGTTTTATCACCCCTGTAAATGGTTAGATGAACTAAATACATTTTCCACACACATATTACTTGGAATTTTTTTTTATATATATTCATTGCCAACGAAAATACTAAAAAATTTAAATTTTACACTTTTCATTTTCACAAACAATTTTTATTTGAAGAATTTTCGTCTTCAATCGGAAAAAACAGATGTTCCTTAAAATAAAAAAAAAAACAAAACTCTATAAAGTACCCGAGATGCTTCGACTATGCTCAAATTTTAATCAGCTCAGTAGGATGGATTAAAGCATGAAAAAACAGATGTTCCTTAAAATAAAAAAAAACAAAACTCAAAGTACCCGAGATGCTTCGACTATGCTCAAATTTTAATCAGCTCAGTAGGATGGATTAAAGCATAAGTTATATGGTCCATTTTAGAGAAACCATGCATAGAATTATAGAGAATGTTATCACAAGCAACTTTTATTTGAATAATTTTCTTAAAAATTCGAATTTTGAACTTTTTGTCAAATTTCTCGAGTATGAACCATTTTAGGAAAATTATGTATGGGACAAAAATTATTGAGAATAACATCACATGCAACTTTTATTTGAATAATTTTCTTCTCCAAGCGTAAATAATAGATAGATTTGATAAAGTAGAAAAACGACTCCATAGATATTCCGACAATGCTCAAAATTTAGTCATCGTAGGATAAATTAAAGCTTAAGTTTAAAATTTGGTGTTTTCCTATTTATCCGTTCATAAGTATTGAGTATATAGACATACACAGACATCATCGCAAAAATAGTCAAAATGGATTCAGGGATCCCAGAACATAAAAATCCACCGAAAACTCAAAGGCGAAAAAAAAATTATGATTCCTATACTTTTCTCATCTGTATACAGACAGGAAAGAAAATAAATAATAATATTGGACTCAACCAACGCAGGCAGTTTAATTTCCAATGTCTTTGGTTTTTGGGTTAAGATGGCAGTTTAAAACGACCTCTTCGGCGATCAGGAACCGTTACATATCTTATCCAAATCTTATCTTATTCAAATCCGTAATAACAGCGATAAACTACAGTTCATCAAATTTCTAGAGGCTTTCGACGGCTAGACAGAGAAAGCACTACTGACAGGCATCCCGATGGAATTACGCAATGAAAGTACACTCTGCGCATCAAGTATTTCACTATTTCATTCAGACGTAAATGTCAGATGTAAATTTCGCTAAAACATTTCTTTTATTTTCGTTTGTGTTTTTTGCTCATTACAGTTTAATAGAACCTAAGTATGGAGCTTAATAGCAAATTAAGAGGCCGCGTGATTAACAGTCAATCTCGCGAAATAATAGCCAATGTTATAGAGTTTATGAGAAGAGAAGGAAACTTTAATTCACCTTCAATACCATTTAAAAATGTAAATGATCGTGTTGCTGCAGCCACAGGAGTATCTAAAAACACTGTCGTCCGCATTTCTGGAGAGAAAAAAAGAATCGATAACCGTGAGATATCGGAATTTTCATCACCAAGAAAAACCATTAAAAAACCAAAAACAGTTAATGATATAGATGAAGCTGCACAAGAATCAAATTTTATTTTTTTATTATTAGATAGCTATTTTTGTTTCTGAGTTGTGTTCATTTACAGGCTCAATTTTTTTCCGTTTCTCCTTTTTGATTTTATATGGGGTTTCAAGTTGTTTTTGACTTATTTCGACGTAAATCACAACAACACACTTTTTTAATAAAGCAAACAAGTGTTAAGAGGTATATGTACGTGTAAACTACAATTACAAAAAATTGATATGAAACCCATGAAACCACCAACAAAAATGTAAAGCTAGCTTCCGTACTAGAACATGGTGTCATTCGTCGAAATAATTTATCGTTTTGTTTAATAGATCAAGAAATGTAAATATTCCCCTGTTATTTTTTTATAAAATTATAAGAGAAATAAATTTTTTTCTAAATAGTATAGTTTATTATTTTGTAGAAAAACAAAATTTCGAAAATTTTAGTAATGTTTCAGAAACAACCGTTATTAATAATAGGTACCATTTTCCTTAATGAGGTAGAAATAAAATATAAACTATTTCCACGATTTACAAAGGCCTACAAAAAAATTATAGGTATTTTCCGCTATCCTATAAAATTTATATTTTCTGACTCAATTTCAAAAGGTTGAAGGAATTCCAAAACACCTTTTATGGCATAATAATTATTTTCAATTCTACATACTATCTTTAGCTGCTTTTAAAAACGTTCTAAGAAAGTCCAATCAGACCAATTTGATCCCTAAACTATTCCACACTTTTAAAATTTAATTACCTAAAAATATTAAAAACTATTTAAAATAACTTATTTAGCAGACTGTACAATAGCTATCTTAGTCATACGTAGCGCGTTCTCTGTCTGGGCGTCGAACACCTCTAGAAATTTGATGAACTGTATTTTCCCTAATTTTGACCAAATCTTCTGCTACTGACTCTCAGGTGATCGCATTTTGTGTACTCGACGGATATATTGCAGTGATGCCGATCCATATTATAGGCACAAAAATATTTTAATAAAATGCATCTTCGTTTTAAAAATAATGGAATTTAGAAAAGGAAGGGACTGAGGCTTAATATATATCAGGCTAATGTAAAGGAGTGGTGTATTTTTAATTACGCTAAGCATTATGTTTTACATGATAATATTAATAGGATATTTTGCAGATGCTCCAAAAAAATTACTATTTTTTATATCTCAATATATTTTTAAAAAAGAGTCACTATTGATTATACGATGCTCTTTGACATTAGTATACCACGAAAATAATAGGATCTAACTCTGTTCGAAATATACAGTATTCCAATTATTCAATATCTTTCTCTACATTGCTAAGATTAACCGGTATAGACAAGCTGGTCGCTTACAACATGTAGATGTAGAAGAAATTAGGAAGAGGCAATGTCGTCGTGATGTCTGTTTATTAGTTAAATAATGGTTAGTTTGTTTAAATTGTTTCTATTTATAGAATTTTTTGGAAAAAATGACTAACCAATAATTTTTTGTACTTCCAATCAAAGATATTAGAAAGTGAATATTTGGAAATAATAGTCAACTTCACACTAATCTGATACTTCTAAAATATTTATCGTCACAGTTTTCCATTTCTTGTTAAAACTTATTAGTTTCCAAGAAAGTTGGTTTAGGATGAATTAAGAAATAGCGAACGAACCAGAATTATTACTAATTATACCTAACTAAATACATTGTCCAAATGTATTTTTATATAACCTCTAACGGTTGAAACAGTTTTCGTTATTTAGACCCAAACATTGTAACGGTTGACATTGTAACGGTTGGAACCGTTTTCGTTATTTTGACGCAAACATCTCTACCCTAATGTCATTTGTCGTTTATGCCTTGTGTCAACAGTTGATAATTCATTTCGATTTATATTAGGCTTGGGTAGTTCACGAACGAACTAGTTCAAAGAAGCATATCTCTTTAATGAACTAATTGAACTAGTTCAGAACGACTCGATCACATAGCTCAGTAGTTCAGTTGAACCGAACGAACGAAAACAGTTTCCTTCCTATGAATCGTATGACCTTCTTTACATTTTTTGATTGTCTACTGGTATAGGCAACACATAATACATTAGTTTGTATTATTGGTTATCTGCTTTAGGAATGTATTAATACGTATTGCTTAAAAATATTGTTTCAATTCGCATCTTGGGATTCCCAAATGCTTTGTTGTTGTTGTTGTTGTTGTTGTTGTTGTTGTTGTTGTTGTTGTTGTTGTTGTTGTTGTTGTTTACAATTCTATAGATTAGTGTTGTAAACGTTTTTTAATTGAAGTATGCCTCCACGAAGAAAATACAGTGCCGTATGGGCTCATTTTAGTGAAAATGAAAATAAAAAATTGGCGAAGTGCAATTATTGTCATCAGCCTATAAGTATAGCGAGTGGTTCTGTGGGAAATTTAAATAGACATTTAAAAAGTAAACATCCTACCATTTTAGTTCAATCTGAAAGACTTGAAAACTTACTTGAACTAAATGAAGTGCAGCAAATGAATAATGAAACCGTAGAGGTGAAGAATAATCCTCAAGTTCAATCTTCATCTTCATCACAAACATGTGTACTTCGAGTAACCTCAAATCAACCTACCATTACTCATTTTATACGAAAACCACCTCCAGCTCGTAAAACTGAACAAATCGACAGGCAGATGTTAAAAATGATTGCTAAGGGTCATCATGCTTTTAGAATTGTAGAAGAACCAGAATTCAGAAAACTTATTGAAATGGTGTCATTTTGTCCTGGATACCAACCACCGACAAGAAAATCACTGTCTAATAATTTAATGACTACTGTCGAAAATAGTATTTCGGAAGATATAAAAGAAAAATTAATATCTGCAAAAGCAGTTTGTATTACAACCGATGGTTGGACATCCCGGAACAATGATAG